TTAATGCACAGCTTCAGAGACAAAGAGGCCATCTTTACTTTAAATATTTTCAATAATGATAATAATATGATTAGCATCTGATTATAATAGGGGATAATGAATAGTTATAGTATAATAGAGATTATTAACACCATAATGGGCGGTGACTAATTCAAGAATAAATTCAGATCATTATTTTCATGGAACGTCTTTTTAAAACGTTGATGCCTGATCCATGGAGCTTGTTAAACATTTAATTCATTTATCCAACACCCACGTCCAAAGCGACAGTAGAAGGAACAGTTACAATTTGCAACTGTACCCTGGGATTTGAATTCACACCTTTGGTATGGTTGGCATAATGCTCTACTCATTGAGCTGACGGAGACCTTGCAGGGTGGCATGAGCATGCACACTTTTGCATGAAAATTTGTCAGAGGTAACAAGAAGAGGATATGTTGGGAGTCAATAGTTGGTTAAAGTCAGAATATTTTGTTTTGAACCAGAATAGATGTCACTGCAGCATCACAGATTTCTGTGTTTGATGTGATGCATCATGATCAAATTCATCTGTGAACGTCAGAGTTAAGGAAGTGATTGTAACAATTCTTTTGTCTTATATTTGCTGTTGATTTTAACATACATGACAGAAGATATTCCATTTAGTCTAACTGGAGCCTTCCCGAGTTGGGGTAAGTACATCAAGCAACAACAGTGCATCTACAAAGGCAGCCAGACTAATAGTAGATTATTAACAGACTACAACCTCTTCTAGGGAACAATGTACTGCAGTCAGCAGTGATCTGCCTCATTGACAATATTATACAGTGTAGCTGAGTTATTCAGTGTTAGTCAGAGTATCACTATATTAGACATAATGAAAAAAAGCTTAAACGATATAAACTTCTGAGTCTGGAAATTTGCCTTATAATGAGTCCTATAATGAGACAATTTATGAACAAACTTAAACTCAGCGGCCAGTTTATACCTGCAAAGTAAAAAGTCTGCTTCGCCAAACAGTAAATCAGGTGGCTGCAACTGAAAACTGAGTGAAAAAATGGATAAAATGACAAATAGCTTTGGCACAAGCAAAGTATAAAGAAAGAACTTTAACAGGAACTGTAACAGGAACAGGCCAGCAATCATTCATATCGCCAGCCGTAAAAGAAAATAACACAGATCTGTTCTGTTTTATGCCATCAGCCACCTTATTCCTGGCAAATTCCTAACCCTCTTTGACGGGAGGTTTGATGTTTGATGCTTCCTGCCACCACCAAGCACATTCACGTTCTGATGGGCTTAATATTGCCTTGCCATGGATATCTTGGATATGGGACTGCAGGGGTAAATTACTGTGGTGAGTTAGGTGAATACAGTCTTATTTTTTTAATTTCTGTTTTCAAATGCTTTCTTGCACATTTCTGCCATAACTATTTAATTCATTGATGCAGTGACTGTGTTAATCTGTTAAACTGAAGTTACTGTACAGTATGTGCAGTATGAAACCATACTGATGAAAATTAAGAACATTAGGGTACCTAAATATTCATGAGGAAGTAAAATCATAGTTACAATTATTAAGCATAATCCATTAATCAGTGCACTGTGCGCATGTTAATTATTAAGTAACTATGTTAGTTTAAAATGGTATTCTGTTACTCAAAGGCTAGTCATCTGGATGTCAGTATCATGCCATGATTTCCTTATACTGATCATGAATATTTCCGGAACATCTGTTTGATCTCAATCCACGATACAGATCTTAGAGATTTAACCTTCCTGTTTTTGCGACGAGCAAAGCATTTCAAGGGATATGTGTTCCATAAATCAGATCTTTACAATCATTTTAAAGGAATGAAAGTATAGAATATTAACATCTGCAGGACAAAATATTGGCAAGGGCTGTTACTTGATCCCAGTTTTTAGCAGGGAAGTATTTTAAAACCAATACTACAGTATTATACAGTATGCACACCCCATTTTCAGCAGTTGTGTGTTATTCCAGCACTGACACGATAAAAAGGATTTGTTGAGTGAGAAGAGAGCTGCTTTCCAAAACTGATGTGCCAACTCTTGTCACCCTCTCACAGTAGCATTATCTTGTCAGCATTAAAGTTTACACATTCTGTACATTTTTCCCAATATATGTCCCTGACAACCAACACAAGGAGTGTTATCCTTTCGTGTCCAAAAAAAAATCACAATTAAATTATATATTTTTTAAATTATAACAATACACAATGGATTGAACTTATTAATGTATACTAGGGGCATGTGATCAAAACATTTTAATTGAGTTATAACATTTAAAGTAGTAGTAATTGGTATATCTATCTCATAATGCTTTTGAGGAGAAAACTAACTTGGTAAAGTTATCATACAAGAGTAAAAAAAAAAAAAACTATCAGAGGATGTTGGGTGTCATCAACCCACCCACCTGTCTTGAAAATGCTTTTGAATGATGGAGAAATGAGCTGCTGAACCACATCCGCTCGTCACATTCCTTCTGCACATCCAAGACCCATCTGTTCCAGGAATTAGCCAACACCACTCCATATTCCCTGAAAGCTGCACTTGTTGCACTTTCTGTTTCTTTGTTTGGAAGATCTTGTGTAGCTTCTGCTCCAATTCTGCTTACATTTGTACCCGAGCATTGATTGGAAGCTCAGCGTAGCTGCAATTATGCCTAATCGACACTTTGACAGCTGCATGTCTGTAATGTGCTACAGTATCTGCCTGACTTGCATGCTGCTTTGAGCAAAGGCACCATTAACACCATTGTACATTCATCCAGTGAAAGGCTGTAAGAAGCCCCAGGCTCTCACATCAAGGACAACAAACCTAAATGCATCACCGTTAGGCCAATGGCCATTAGTGAGGGCCCTGAGATCTATGCAGTGCATTTTGTCTAATGTACCATAGCAGTTGTAAGTAATGTTAGTCAACTAGCAAGTCAGAGCGTTCTGTAACGACATAAGCAAAACTCCAGTTAAGATCATTTTTGCCATTTGTCTCATACTACTAACAACCTTAACCTTCTAATCCTGTTCGGGTTAAAGTTTTAAATGTATAAAAACACCACATAAATTTGTGTGCTGCATCAAGGCTTTTTGACTTTGTCAGGAACCTCTATTTAAACAAAATAAATTAAACCAAATCAAGGCAAGACATGCCCATACAAGTAAGGCAAGATAAGACCAATTCCGTTTATTTATATAATTCTCTTGAGGTTAATTTTACCGTTATTTTTTATTGAAAACGAGAGGTATGCTGTCAAAAGAAAGGTCCAGAAAGCCACACCAAAAATATTAAAACCAATCTTTTCATGGATAAGGAAGCCTAAGAAGGTAACCAAGAGGTAAGAAACAAATTGGATGATGAATAATTGTTTTGAGGGTATTTTATGGATGATTTAAGAAACGGGTTGGCACCGACCCATTTAACATAAGAGATAGGAACAGAAAGCTAACAAAGGACAAAAGTTAAAGGCATTAATCCTTCATTTGCTGGCTAATGATCTTGATTAGCCAGCTACTGATATGCAACAAAACACTATGTGGTAGTACATACAGTATATGAACATAATCTAAACAACCAATGGACATCAAAAATTTATGCACAACCTGTACATATTCATATTCTGTGTTCTTCAGGTCCCTCTTCCTCTGTTTAAGTGACAACTGTAATGGAACTGTACTGCAGAGTACGTCAGGACAGAGGAAACTAAAAAGTAAAGCAGAGTTGGTACCACCCGCTGAAAAAAAAATAATATTGAAGGAGAGCTCTAGAGAACTGAACCTTTAACTGAATGAAAAAGACAGCTGAGGAAAAAGAAAGCAAAGTAAATCAACACTGCTTTGTTAGATGGTGTCCACCTGCATTTTTACCAGTGGGAGGGAGGCAGTGGAGTTCCAGTATTCCCACATAAAGGCTCCATTGTCAGCCAAAAAGAATGCTCTGGCTAAATGTGAAAACATGTACACTTTAACCAACACACAGATCAGCTTTCAGTTCTGCAATCAAAAGCAACAAAATAAGACAGTGTCTCTTTCTTTTCACTAAAGGTCTTCTGAACAAGGTATCTTGATCCAGGAGGCACTGAGCTGAGGAGTACCTGACCTTCATTATTTACTTTCCTTGTTTCCTTGCATTGTCTAGCTCCTTATTTGTCTTTCTCTCCTTGTCTCTCCTTCACTGTCCATAAAAACTACCTGCTTACATCACTTTAGACTGCCTCAAAAACTCAGCGAATCAACATCTTATAAAACAGTCACAAGAAAACGTACAATCATGGATTGTATTTCATTACAATCTGCAAACTGTGTTGGATTCTGGCCCTTTAAGACCCGAACTGGGGAACCCTGAAATAGCTATTAATCAAAAATATTCAATTTTTTTTTTCCAAAATTGTGTTACTTTTTCCATACTGGCTGGCTGAATGTATGCAGTTAGCTAAACATTTTATGTAACAAAATAAAAGCATGCTACAATTTCCCACAGAAACACAACGTTATGGTCAGGAGTTTTTAATTGTTTTATTATTATTGCATCATAATGAGATTATTGGATCTTTAATGCAAAGCAAAATGCAATGGCAATGTTAAAAGCAAAATGCATTTGTTAACTGTGTAATTTAACCTAATTTTTGCTTCATGTTAAGTCAACTGATACACAAAAAAATGTGCTAAGGCAGACAGATCAGTACAAGGCTGAAGACTGTTTAATGGCTCTGTTTTTGCCATCTATTGGCTGGCACAGTGGAGCACACATGCTTGCAAATCAGCCTGCACAATCACTCCTGCTGAAGGACAGGAATGTATCCCTGCACACGGCCACAAAGCTCACCTGGAGCTCCCTGTTCTTCCTCTGCAGGCTGACATTAAGAGTTTCCTCCTCTTCAAGTTTTTCTATCATAGAATTCATCTCCAGTTCTTTCCTACAGAAAGTAAAAACACATTGGATTTTCAAACCAAACTGCTTTAACAACAAAAGTTGTTCCACAGAAGATGCTTTGGCTAGTAGACCAGAGAGTTATTTAAAAGTAGAATTAACAAGGTACAGGCTAAATGGCCACAAACTGGATTTCGGACATTTTTCTCTCATTAAATAACTATGAAATCTAAACCCAGTGAAATCACTTGGACTAAAATGTTATTAGTTTTTCAGAAGGCTGTTAATAGTGTTTACACAAGGAACGACTCTAAGGGGCCTCCTTCCCTTGAATGCTTATCAGCCGGTTGAAGCAGTAGTACTCTTCTGGACAGTCACTAATGCCTTGTTCTCATATAACCTCAGATAACAGCACATTGCTGTTGACATGTTATTTCATTCAAAATGCTATCTATCCATCTGTTTTTCTGCTCACTTACTTACAGGGGCATTATACATCAAAGGCAGTGCGCAATCAAAGGTACCTTTGACAGAATTGTCTCAAAGGAACCAAAATGCTGTACGTGTCTTAAGTAAATTGTTTTACAGAGGGTGTAGAAATGGCTCAGAGCAGTATTGCTGCCTCGTGGCCCAAGATTGGGGGCTGAGATGTGGCCCAAACGCATTTTCAGTTTTCCCCTGTGTATGTGTGGGTTTTCTTTGGGTGTTCCTCCCACATTCCATGCTATTCAGGTGAATGGGTGACTCTAAATTACCCGTAGTGTGCAAATGAATGTGTATGCCTGTGTGAATGCCCTACAACGATCTGACACCCTGTCTCAGGGCTATGCAATTTTGCTGAAGAAGTGTCTTGATATAGCAAATATTGCACGTGATTTAATGTACTTACAGAAACCCATATAGATCTTTAATTGATGTTCTTATAGATGCCCATAGAGCATGACTATACATCACTGATAACATGAACAAGTCAAACCTTACACATTCATTATTCAAATAAGCGTTGTTTCCACTTAGAATGTACATACTTCACATTTCTGTGCAGTCAATTTTAAGAGATTTTTCTTTTTCTTTAAATGTGAGTTTATTTTAAGGAGAGGCGGGGTCAAATTAGTTGAGGCTGAGGGAGAATTAACCCTCTTTCAACCCGCTCAAATAAATGTTTGTAAAAGTAGGAGTTCCTAAGCTTGCCAGAACACATTGGTATGCAGAGTTGACAAAGGACTTGTCTGGGCACAACATAACACCCTCAAACATTCCCAGTTCATCATCACTGAATGCTTATAGTATTATGATGTTTCGTGCCACATTCAGCTGCCATAGATCAATTATTAAATGCATATTTAGTGCTAATTTTATGACTCTTAAAATATACGTTCATATATTTGAATTGTCCAACTGGTACTTAGTCCCACATTTGCAGTCCTAATCTTTGCTATAAAATCAGATTGAATTGTAGTTATGTGATAAGACCAGTAATTAGAATTACATACTGTAATTAGACACTATATAAGAAGCTCAGAAGTACCGATGAGGGTGAAGAGGAAGTGGTAAGCTGTGATCAATTAATCTCACAGCTTCTTTTACAGTGCCTTCATGTTGACTTGTATTGTGCATGACTAAATTTTTTTGGGTCTGAAGTGTTACTTAGTTGCTCTAACAGAAATGTTCAATGTTCTCCTTCCCAAAGACTCACTTCTTAATGATGTCCTCCAGACCTGCCTTCATCTTCTCCAGCTCACTGAGGCTCTCCACTGTAGTCTTGCTGTCCCCCTCCAGCTTCCGGTGGCTCTTTTCCACATCACTCCTCTGCTTCCTCTCCTGCTCAAGAAGGTACTCCAACTGGAAGGGGAGTTGAACATCTCATCTGAATGTCCCACAACTACCTGGGAGGATAAGGTACTTAATACTGGTCATTCAACACTGTGTAGATGGTATTTGTGATCCTTGGTTACTTGCTGTTACATCTGAGAACTACAACAGTCTACATTTTCTTTGCGCTCCGTAAAATAATGATTTTTGGAATGGTTGTTAAAATATATTTCGGAAAATGCTTCAGTAGAAAAACAACAATAATAAAGTGCAATATTCCTACATTTCATTGCTCAGCGCTCAAATGGCTATTTTAGTGTTTACGATATAGTAAAATTTGGATTTTACACACCTCTGGGAAGTAGTAGGCATTGCAATATATTTTCTCTGTACACACACAAACATACAGACACACACACACAGTATATATCATAAATAAAAATAACAAGGTCAAATCATTTCTACAATATCTTCCTGAATGTGTAAATCTAGCCTTTTACAGTATAGTATAAATTCTTGTCATAATATTTAATTCCTACAAAGATGCATCAACATGGCCAGAGAACCCCCTACTATTATGGGGGGTGGTAATATTTCATTGACTTGGGTGGGCGGGGGGGGTTACATAAAATTTGCCTAGCGGGAGATGGGGGCCACAATAAAATATAAAATACGCCAAGCAGGGGGCATCCCTGATGAGTAAATATGCAGACGAAAAAGATTTCAAAAACTGTTGAGGTAAAGGAGGTAGTACATATTAAATTGTAATCTGCTGCGGTGAAAATACAGAACAAATGGAGCCCTGTATTGGTTCAAAATGGAACACAGCATTTTATTTTTCAATACGGAGTGTTCCTAGGTTTCAAATTTTAGGTTAGTTGAAGCCCCTGAGCTTCAGCCCAGGTAAACCCATGCAACAAAATTCTAGTAAACAGCTGTACGTTGTACATTGCCAAACCATACTTTCCTTATTACATACTTAGAAATTAGTTGATAATACATCATTAGCCCATTACTGATTATAACAGGAGAGTTGCAAGATTTGTCTGAATACTTGACATTCATATACTGTGACTATAATTCAGTTGTTGAACGCTTATATTAATACCGATTTACGCGTTTTACCCATTAGCTAAGTGCGTCATTGTAGATGGGAGTCTAGATGCATAAAATGTAAATATCTCCACCTCTTCTGCCTGCATCTGCAGCTTGGCCTTCTCCTTAGTTAAGTGGTTTACTTTATCTTCTTCCGAGTGCAGGTCCTCTATGGCTTGCTGCGCAATAGAAAAAAGATCATGACGTGACATTAACTATAACATTTTAATGGCACACTTAGACTGTTTAGCCACAGCAAATAACAGGCATTTCTCCACACACATAGCCATCACTGATCGGTGAAGCCAAATTGTACAGAATTCCAACTAGGGTGTTCAGACAGAAAGCATGATCACAAAGATGGCAAGAAGGATCAACCAGCATGTGTCTTTGGATGGACTGACCTCTGAACCCCTGGGTCCTGCATTTAGATGAAAGGTGACCTGTGGTACCTTATCTTTCTTCCTAATATTTTGAATATTTCACTTTCTGCAATGTCTCCACACTACTTCCCTTACATTGATTAAAAATCCTGCATAAAAATTTCAGTGGAATAAGAGGACCAGGATGGATGATTACTGCAAAAATGCAACATAACTCAACATGATGAATATTACAATGTGATCACATACATTCAAAAATGTCTTAGACATGATACCATAAATAGATTAGCATTTCTGGGAAGTTGCCTGTCATTTTCTGGGAATTTTTTGTCAGATAGACCTAATGTTTACTCCAGATTCTCCTGGAAATGGTTGAAAACGACACTGGAAATGCTCATATTTCCTGAGACTTGTTGACTATTAATGACTAATAATTGCAGCATACATGCATTGATATATATGCATGCAGTTAATCATTTTGAGCCAGCTAACAGAACCAATCAGTACCTGAGTGGTTTATCCAATGTAAATATGAAAGGGAGATTCAGAGTAAACAAAGCGATTATTTTTCAATGTTTAAAAATTCAAGTAATTAAACACAGAGGAATGTCAAATGAAAATAGCAAAGTACAACAAAGAAGATATAATACTTTGTCGCAATAAGACATTTTTTGCATATTTTATATATATTGACGCTGAAAAAAATAAAAATATAATGATAAATCCAAATTTGACCCTGCATCCAGTTTAAACTTATTTCAGGCTATAATAGGTCCATTCACATGCATCTGCTCTGAATTTGGGGCATCAAGGCCAAGGAAATCTAATACATTTTCATCCTAGCATGAAAACCAGGAGTGCAAGACGGCCTCCATTTCGAGGTTCATCCACGGTGACACTATGACCTTTTAACCAAACCAGCACTTTTCTTTCAATTGCGGACTCAACATCTGGACCTCTGGATGTGTTTGTGCATTTGCTTAGGTACGAACGGACAATTATAAGGATTTATTTATAGGAAAACTGTACTCTTTATTTCACCATATCTGACCATAGTTCATTTTTTGGTTGCTATCAGAACATCAGAAACCACTGTGCTCAGGATGGAATTTGTGCGTGTTAACAGGGTTGCGCTATAAAGCATTACAATCACACTGTGGAAAAACGACCATAAATGACTTTGTGTCAAGTGCATTTATAAAGAATAAGTACAAATTGATAGATGGATTATTTGAAATGCAACAGATCACAGATATTACTACTAAGGCATTAGGAACTGAAGAATGTAACCTGTACTGTGTAACACTGATTGTGGTTGGAAATGACCGTACGGAACTATGACAGCGCTGAGAGGGAGCAGATCCGTTACACGTCTGGGGTCTGGAAGCCCATATGGTTTGACTTCACTCACATTTTAGCATTCTGTCCAGTCTACTTAGACATCAACTACATACTTACATCTAACAACAATAAGCTTATTCATAAGCATAATTAATTATTCATAATCACATTTTTTTCAATTTAAAATATAAATTTAAATTAACTGAAACTTTTTTTTTTTTTTTAACTGTCTTGTTAAACCTTTTTAAGCCTATCATGGAAACACTGGTTGTGCCATAATATGCTATGTACTCTTTCCTGGATTCAGATACAGAATAAACTTTGTTTCCTAATAATATTTTTGCAACCTGCTGATACTCCCCCTAGACTTGTTTTCTCATAGTCATGGGGCGAATATTCGTCTTCATTGAGCTTATCCTGGAAATGGCCCTAAGCTTAAGCTACTCTAAATATACATTTATCCCATCTGCATTGGGAACAAAACTATAACGCAAATCGCACAAAAGTAAATAATTCATAAGGCCAATAAGCACAATATATAGCATTTGTATATTCTACTGAGTTTAATTTCTTGGACTCTACTACATCACTGAATTACAGCAACGTTCTACATCAGACTATATCCTCCTGAGACCCAAGAAAAAAATTGTCCTTCAATTGTAGGTTATTTGTCTTTGGAGGAAATAAGACATCTTACAATTAAATTTTTTCAAATTTATTTTTATTTTTAATTTCGCAGCATGTCCTCTTTAGTGCACAACAGGAATAAATATGTTTCCTAACATCAGTGAAAAACTAAATGCAAAAATACAATGTCCACTACAATGGACATAAATGAATAGGTCGGGTCTCAGGAGGATATGTAAATTTTAGGTAATGGCCACAGTTCTGGTGCGGAAACAGCCTGATGCGTCTCTAAACCATCCAGTGTTCTTACACAAAAACCAAATTTACTTCAAACCAAACCAACGGCCGTCACTTTAAAGGTCTGTGGAAATAACAGGCAGTAAGTCTGCTACCACCATGCCTCGTATTTGTGAATAAATATGCCTACGATAATGACAAGGCATCGGGAACCTGAGCTGTCGTCTGGGATAGTATTCAGTGTTTATCACAGGGGTCGCAGTCGCCAAAGCTTCTGACAGAAAGGAAGAAAAGCAAAATCCTCACCTTTGGAACAAACTCAAGATGCCCTGCTGTGAAAAGCATTTTGTGTGGCTCTACATGCACATATATATATATATATATATATATATGTGTGTCTGTGTGTGTGTGTATACATACATATGTATATGTATATGCATTTGTATATGTATTTATAAATACAAAGCTTCATTGGGGAATCGGCGAGGTAAAAAGCCATGTCAGTGAATGATGACACAGGTGTGGCTCTGCACTGAAGAAGCAGATTAGGAAGTGAATGCATTAACAGGTAATAGTTTTCCATAAAGGGAAAATCTTCTTATTTCCACTGACCTGTTTCAATTTAAAAATGTGTTTAAATAACTCCATAATTTTTATGGTTCTTTCAGATCATTTGAATGCAAAATACGAAATATAGCAGCTACAATTTAAAGAGGATCCAAGGTAAAATCAAACTGATACATAATTTGATCTTTGTGGCTTTGTAGCAATGTGATTCATGCTGATAATGCATTCAGACACATGCTTGACCCATCACACGGTGACCTTTCAAGCAGCATCACCTCTGCTGATGTCAAATGTCATTGTGGCTGTTAGACTTTGCTCACCTGAGCGAGTTCTACAAGACGTTCCTTCTCCTTCTGCAGTTTCTGTATGATGTCATCCCTCTGCGAAAGCTCCACTGTCAGCTTCTGCACATTTGAGTCTGAAGACTTGATGTGAGATTCAGAAAGGAATTAAAATTCCAATTAAATTAGACAATCACAGAGTAGTATCTTCTAACCAAACCACATATTCCAGTAAGTAAATATTAGCTTTATTAACAAATCATATGCAAAACTTAGGACCTTCATTCACAAAAATGAGTGCACAGCCAATGCATTTGATTTCCTTTCCTGACAAGCAAACCATAAAATAAATAAAATGCTTATGTAGCACGTGTTCCTACAGAAACAGTTTCGTTTAGTATTACCTTTCCCAAAAGCTGCAGAATCAAGCTCACTACAAATCCTACAGTCATCCTACCTGCTTCGTGTTCTTCCAGTAGAATCAAAAGTAATTCATCAACCTTGCGGAAATGTGGGTGGACACAGAAACCTTCAAATGCACTTAAAGTTATAACAGGACCATACATATCTAGATCCAAAAGCTCCATGGACTGGACTGCAGATGTTGCCCTAGTGTAGGAGGAGGGTTCAAGGCCAACTTCTTCCCAGACAAAAGCATCCAATATTAAATGCTATTAAGAAACATATTCTTGGAGACACCTATAAATATCTTTCCAGCATTCAAATGTTTGAATTTTAATTAAGCTAATTATCATTTTAAAAATCTATTTACCGTTTATTGTAATTATCAATTCTGTGCATCATACAAAATGTATTACAAAGTCACCTTAGTTATTTGGAATTCAGTCCACATGATTGCGATAATCAGTGAATACCAGAATAAATCTTTTGTACTACTACAGATACAAATGAATCACAGTTAGAAAAGAGCAATTGGTCTTTAGTTGAAAATAGAAATGAACATCCAGCAAAACATTTCCATGGTGATATAGTATATAAAGAATCTCCACTTCTATGATATATTACACTGTATTTCAATCAAAATGATAAACCCAAAATATACATATATTGGCATTATGACAAAAATAACTGCAGTGTTCATTTACCAAAGTCCTGAATATAACTCGGAGAGTGATTCACTTTTCCCGTGAAGGGTGACATCGAGCACAGCATGTTAGAATCTAAGTGGGGGGAAAGTTTAGCAGCAGGGAAGTTTCAGGTTCAGAAGGGAGACATTTGCAGCATGAAAGGCAGATGTTTGGCACAATGAACAATGAATTCAAAAGAAGACTTCATAAACAGTGAGGACAAAGGAGACAACAGAATAATACATGATAATGTCTTACAAGGGACCATGGAATTTATCATGTGGGTGGTTAGTACAATAGGAGGAAAGGCAAAAAATGGGCACTGAGCTTTATTAGACAATTAGGAAATGGGAAAAAAGAATACATAATAATAATAACAATTATTATTATTATTATTATTATTAAAGACATTCTATCATAGTCTTCAAGGAAGATGAAATTTGATAAGCTTAGCAAACATGTTAAAATCACAGCGAATATAAGAGTAGAGATGCATGCAGGCGCTGCCAGCAGAACAGAAAGCGGTGAATTTGAGCGGCAGGGCCCCCTACCTGCTTGTCCCTCTCCACAGAGCTCAGTGTGTTCTCCAGCTCCTCCAGGTCCTGCTTCAGGCTGCAGCACTCCGCCTCCAGCCGCAGCCTCTGTGCGGCCAGCTGAGCCACGCAGCCCTCCTCCTCCTCCAGCCGCTCGCTCAGGCCTGCCACCTGCTCCTCCAGGTCCCGTTTGGCCTTGGCCAGCTGGTTGCAGCGCTCTTCCATGTCCTGCAGGCTCTCTTGCTCCTGGGGGTAGGTGGTGGTGGGGGGGGGGGTGCTTATTTTAATAGCTGGAGGACTGTGGCTAGTTCCCCTCCCCCTCCGAATATATGGCTGTCAGGCAGGATTCATACAGACACACACACCACGCACATCTAAAAAATGAGAATTTGCTCATTTCAGCAGAGTTGGTCAAATGCAGCTGAGGCAGAGCTAAGACTAAATCTCTCTCATCCACACTGGGATTTTCCAGGGCAGCAAAAAAAAAATAGAGGCACATACTGCTGCAGACTGTACTTATCTATATTCCTTTAAAGTTAATTATACACTGCAAAGAAAAAAATAACAACTTGATAATACAGTTATCAGCATCAGTTATTACACACTGACTAATGAATGAATGTGAAAATGCTTCAAGAGACTATTTGTGCTTGCTTTGCAAAATACCTCATCTGGAAAGAATCTCAGCTGTTTGGTACCCCCAGAAGTATGTGCTAATAATCAATATGAAACTAGCCTGGGCAAGCTGTTTAAAGACTGATATTTAATGAAAGTTCTTAGTTTGTATACTTTCAGTAATATGTCTGTGTTGAGATATTTCTCTCCACCTCTTAATATTCCATTTTCTTTCATCCCTTTCTCTCTTACAGTATATATTTTTTAATCTCAATACCCACCCACCCCCCAACCCTGATCCTGTCCCCATGTTAAACAGAACAGGGGAAGAATGTGAATAGAAAGACCTCAACTACAGCAAAAATAAAGCTAAAAATAAAAATAAAGAAAACCACTGCTACAATAGCAGCTAATTAAAAACATATATTAGCAAAGGAAACTAAAAGTTGATAAACATTTAATAGCAGGTGTTCAGTATGCTACATATACAGTACATAACACATAGAGACAGACAGAAACATATCCCTAGAAACATATCCCTAATAAACATCTTTTTTAGATCAGACAAACAAGCATGTGGTAAAATTAACAAGTACAATTCTTTAACTCTATGGCTGATGTTTATGGATAATCTTTAAATACACGTAACCGCACAAAACCACACAAAGAGTGAAGTAACTATATCTTTATGAAATCAGGAAGGATAATAATATCTTGAGAGATGAAAAAAAGAGTCCTAGCTTAAGGCACTGCCCACAAAGGTTAACCTCCCAGGTTTACAGAAGGAGGAACCAGATGACTTGGTTCATTAGGACTGCTGAGCTTATGCTTTCAATTACAGTTCAGACCTCCTCGGCGTGCTTATCGCAAGTGGTCACAGACTCTAACATTCTTTTCTGCTCCCCCTCCCCCCCATCTTTGTGGAACCTGTAAAGGCAAGGCGGTCATTGACAATCGAGATAAACTGTGGCGTGGAACGGGACACATGCCTGCACAGACGCACAGATACCAAGCGACACAGAGAGCATGCAGATACATACAGCAGCTAATTGCTCCTCCAGAGTCATACTAAAGTTATCCCAGTCCAGGTCTTCCTGTTCTGGCTCCATCGGCAGCCCATTGGCCTCTTCAGAGTCATCTGAGAAGGACCGGCACCTTCTCCGTCTGGGTGTGTTAGACATCGCCCACGCAAGATGTCTACTCAAATGTGAGATTCCCCACTGAAGCTATCTGCTTCACTGGAGTCCCCCCCCCCCCCCCCCTCCCCACCAAAGACTCAGCTTCCGCTTTTGTCGGACAGGTAAGAGTTAACTGCAGGTGACAGGAGACGAGAGGGCTTTATTCACCCAGTCTAGCACACAAACCATATTCAGGAGCTACAGCAGCTGTGCAGGGCAGATGGTTGCTATTCTGTCTTCCCCAGGCGTCAGCAGATACAGCCTGCATCGTCACCCACTGCTCCTCACTCCTGCTCTGTTTTAACTGCACGCACTTAATCCGGGTTGTCTTGCCCTTCCTCTTATCTCCAGACTCGATCTACAATCGTCTGACTCCCTGTTCATACCTAGCCCAGGTACCAAGCAGAGCCAGATGAGAGCACCCGCGGGAGCCCCTGATTTACACTGACCTTTCTTCAGCCCAAGGCTCCACAGATCCAAGTTACACTCACCCAATAATTAGCTGTCCCCCTCCCAGTACAGGTGTCTTTTCCTCCCACTGTAAATTCAATATAAGCTCCTGAAAGGCGGAGGTATAGGATGACGGACAATTTGAAAAGCTTTAGTTGACACGGTCGAGCACATGTAACAAGAGCACAATATTCACGCAGCCATTGAATGTCTGTCTCACTTGGAAAAATGCAGCAGACTCTTAAATAGTTTGACTCTGGCTACTGTACTCATTTGTAATTAACAGAAAGACCTTTGTCTATGCCCACACAACTTGGACAATGCCCTGAAATTATTCTACCAACAGGAGAACACAGGGAGTATTGAGGCCAGCCCAAGGATATGAATGAATTACAAATCTACTAAGTACTACATATGATGCATTTCACTACCAACTCTTCACATGCTTTATGACCCACTACTGAGTAATTTAGAAGTGTATAAAGTATCAATGGCAATTTGTGTGATAAATTCCAAGAGAGAATAGTAGGCTTTGCGTATCATTAGGATAAATCAACAAGTCTTTTGGGAGTTTTTTTTACAACTCTGTTATCTAGAAATTAAGGACCACATTTATAAGTGTTCATGTTTATTTCTAACTACCAAAGATACTAACCTGTTATTGCTAATAATACATACACACACACACACACACACACACACACACACATATATATATATATATTGCATATGTGTTTTCTCTTACCCTGCCTCCAGTATTACTTGAATGCTGACTGTTTTGTTCTGTTGATGAATACCTTTGTCACGAGAAAAGAATATTCTGCTTTACTACAGTATATTTATTTCTGCTGTAATCAGTAGTACAATTCCAAGTACTTAGATGTACAGTAAACTTGCACTAAATTGTCTGCATAATGTGTATTTTGAATTATGTTTGGTAATTAATAAACTGTACTCTACGGGCCAATGATTATTAGCATCAAACCTGAATAGCTGTAACATCAATTTTAGATACTGTATATTGTATACAGAATTATTTTTTAAAAATTGACAAAAGGAGTTACTGTTTTGCTCAATTACACATCAGTGTCCAAAGTCATGACTCATCAAAATAACTGATTAAATATCAAAAAGATATCTACTACCAATGAGACGTTTCTACTCAAAATTTCACTTAGAGAAAAAAATGCAGAGCGATGTCATGGATCCTTGTATTATCACATTCCAGTCAAAATTCCCGTCTGAAGAGCACAGAGGACCGTTTGTATAACAGAAAAAAAACAACGCCTTCATGTCATAAAGACACATAAACAGAACATGCTCAGACAGAGATAAGCATCAAGTTGTGTCAAGAGCTTTAGCCATTCACATATAATGATTAAAGCAAAAAGAGGCTTTTCTACAAACCTTTGTGCAGAAATATTTGGTGTGGTCTCAAAAAAACTGTGTAGTCACTATTATACTCATTCCTATTTTAAATATTTTCTGTCAGTATACTTAAGTATACTTAGGGTTGAATATATCGAATAAAACTAGGGTATGCTTAGGAAACAGGAATGTAAGTTAAATTAGATTCACTCATCTTTGAGAAACAAAAAGATTAGTCAAATACTAGATCCTAGTCAAATACTTGAATATCTTTCCTTGTTCACAAATTCTTTCTGAAAGGAGCAGAGGTTTTGACTGAAATGTAAATATGTTTCCCTTTGCTACATAGGCAACAGGATTACACATCAGGAAATAGGGATTTATTATGATTTTATGTTTTTATGATTTTATGTATGTACAGATAGTAAAATTAAATATGTTTTCCTTTTAAAAAGGCTGAATGTGAGAACATAAACTCAGGAAGAAAACAAAATGTGCAGATTAAAATCTGATACACAAGTGGGATCTCCAACTTATTATGCTATAGACACAACACAATCTTAAGATATTTACTGCTGTCACAATTATTTTATTAATTTCTTCATTTGTTATACCTCTTGTCTCATCCAGGGTGGGGGGGGGGAGATCCAGAGCCCATCCCATAAACAATAGGCACAAGGCAGGGAACAACTGAGAACTGGGTGCCAACCTATTGTAGCAATTATTATATTATATTATTAAATTGAATTGAGTTGGCAGGCATCAATAAGTATAAAAAAGAAACTCACTGCATCATGATGTAATTTCCTATTACAGTAAACTGGCTATAGGCACCCCTATGCCTGGACGGGGTGCCAGTCATTCACAGGGCACAGGGTGGGGGTGCACCCTGGACGGGATGCCAGTCATTCGCAGGGCACAGGGTGGGGGTGCACCCTGGACGGGGTGCCAGTCATTCGCAGGGCACAGGATGGGGGTGCACCCTGGTCGGGATGCCAGTCATTCACAGGGCACAGGGTGGGGGTGCACCCTGGACGGGATGCCAGTCATTCGCAGGGAACAGGATGGGGGTGCACCCTGGTCGGGATGCCAGTCATTCACAGGGCACAGGGTGGGGGTGCACCCTGGACGGGATGCCAGTCATTCGCAGGGCACAGGGTGGGGGTGCACCCTGGTCGGGATGCCAGTCATTCACGGGGCACAGGGTGGGAGTGCACCCTGGNCGGGATGCCAGTCATTCACGGGGCACAGGGTGGGAGTGCACCCTGGACGGGATGCCAGTCATTCACAGGACACACACACAGAGTCATACATGAGAAATTAGAGACAATAATTAGCCTAATCTTTTAAATCTATTGAATTATTTGAAATATTGCACGTTTACAGTCCTATAACAAACAATACTGAAAATATATATATATATATATAATTCACACATTTTCCCATAACCACTTAGCACAGGGATGTTCAGAATGTGACACCCACTGGTACAAATACATAAGACTTTTGTGGAAGCATCTATACCAATTTCTTTTTTTGATTATTGTTAAGTAGATGCTTTTTTGCCCCCTAAAGTGACATATATAATTTGTGAACAGAGGGTTAAGTCCCCAGAGGAATTGGGGGTTAAGGGCATTGCTCAGAAGCCCAATGTTGGGATTATTCTGCTGACCTGAGATTTGAACCAGTGACCTTCTGATTACAGCAACAGCAGCCAAACCCACTGAGTTACATACAGTACCATCCCAATGCAGTGAACATGACTGTGTGACAGAAGACAGCAGGTTTCCACCTGAACTCTAATTACATACAGTTCAGGTACTTGGTCTATAAATACTATATATGTGTGTATACTGTATGTGTGTGTGCACGCGTGTGTTTGTGTGTGTGTGTGTGTGTCTGCGTGCGCTATGCTATCTGATAAAAACTCCAGTCCCCCTCGACCCTGTACTAGAAAAGTCTTCAGAAGATGGATAGATGAACCTGGCCATTTTCACGTGAAGACTGCTCAAAAGAGTACTAATGCTCTTTTGAGAGAAAACTCATTTTTAGAGGCTTTGCACTGATAAAAGAGGAGCGATTAAAGAGTAAAACTACACCTATGCTGGGGACAGAATACAGATTTTGAAGAAAAGCACATTGCCGATTGTCTGCCTAAACTCCAGAGTCACAACAAAACATTTTGTTTACCGTGTCCAATGGAGAATTTATATAGGGAGTCTGACTTGATGTTGAACTACTGACCTCAGCCTTACAATGCAGTAAATAACCGTCTAGCCAAGACAAACAAGGTCCATGTGTAAGCAAAGAATGACCAGTAGCAACACAGTCTATTCATAGCTCTGCAGTGATGGCGGCTTCCATGATCATGCTGAAATGACGGCAAGAAACTGCCAGAGAAGGCGAGATGGTGGTCTGAACTACAGCAGGTCTCTGTCTGGAAGCTGGAATGTAAAATTACTCTGTTGCAGCCAAAGTATGAAAAGAACGGATAAGGCAATGGAAAACAGTCTATAAAAGGGGGGGGGGATCGTTTCTACAGTTTACCTTCTATTCGAGCAAGCGAGAAAAAAATGGTCCAGCAGGGAACTCACACAGTGAGTAACCTGCCCAACATATACACGGTTACTTTGAATGGATGGTTTTAAACTCTTGGTTTGAAATTGCAGCTCTGGTCACTGCATGGCAAGTTACACGTGTTTTTAAAATGGATTGTGATGTGTATGAACAAAGACACACAATGATGTGAAAGGAAGAATGGAAAACAGTAGATGAAGACATTCATGGTAAAGCCAGTGTGAAATACATGGGTTATACAAAAGCAGTATCAGATTGAGATAGTATTCTTGGCATAGTTTGAGTAAATTTACCTTGACAGGACAAAAATCAATGGCAGGGAACCCATAGACTCTTTCTTCACTTAGTTCTATGTTAAGGCTGAATTTCAAAGTTTGCAAACCATAGGATATCAGCATTGCTGCAAAGATCCAATGTACAATGTGTTTACTCTCAGCCATAAGATGCACAGGCATAGCTCAGATTACAATAGATCATAACCAGCTAAATGCTCACGAATTAGCAGAATCAGGGAGCAGGAAGAAGGATGAGAATGAAAGTGACTAAGTAGAAGATCATGAAAAACTTCTGTTATGCTGTATTTTGGGGGAAATGCTGAATTACAAAGGGCTGGCGAGTACTGAAAGTCCATCTGATCAATTCCCATACACTGGTATTATTATAAACACTCGTAATTCCTTCTTAGAAAGCAACTCATAATAATTATGAGCAGTGACACATAAACCATGCTGACTAATATTGCAGATGTGCCTACAGTACTTAAGTAATGATTCTGAAGGAGCCTGCAGAGCTGACTAACGTACTGAATCTACTTCATCAACAAAAAAAAGTCATATTGAAAATCACTCACCAGGCTTATAAAAGCCAAAGTAAGAGCATCCTTTAAGAAAAGCAGAGATGTGCAGCATTTTACTGGCTGGCTCTGAGCTGAGACGTATCATTATGTGCAGCACAAGCAGATCGAATAATTGCTACGTTCAAAATTCCTTACTAGCTGCAGAAAACAGAAGCTATGAAAATAGCTGGTGTGATATAACATATAAGTATTTTGAATTAAAGCCATACAAATTATACAAATAAAACTAAAGCAAATACATAGAGAAAAAGAACATAATTCAATGAAATAAAGTAAAATGATGACATATGGGAAACCAGGACTTACTGCTTGATATCTAACAAAAATCTCCTTCTTTTCTTTGTAAAGTCCTGCATTTTCTTGCTCCAGTTCACAAACCCTGGACAGCAGATGGTCCGTTTGCTCAACGGCTTTCTTCAGTTCTTCTCTCTCCCTCATCCCTGACTGCAAGGACTGTGGCAAAGGATTAACCTGGGTAGCAGAAAGATTCATTTCCTTTAGACTTTCACTCCTGACTAGACCCCCCCCCACTCCAAAGTGGGCCTCTTAGAGCTCTGTAAAACAATATAAAATTTCATCGTCTGAATCTGTCTCCAAGTCAACACAGTGCCAGCAGTTAACATAATCATGGAAAACTACTCCTTTTTTTTTCTCAATAAAAGATTAAGTTAAGCTAAGCTACTTAGTAAACTAACTAAATTTAACTTAATTTGTTCCCTCATCTCATCTAAGTTGAAAAGACAAAAAGAATTAATGCAGAGACTGGCAGCTATTTACATATGTCAAAAAAACTTTCCGTATGCAAAAAACCTTAAAGGCTTCTCCAAAAGAGGTTAAAAAATACTGAAAAGAGATTAATTGAATGCATAGGGAAAGACTGCATGAGCTTTATATTGCATATATTTATTGGATACTGCAAATTCTGGGTCATCAGGTTTATCTGTCATCAAGCATTATGATGCAGTATCAAGAGTCATTCATGGTTTTAAAGCCAATTAGCAGAGTTGTGATGTCAGAAGAATTCATTCATACCAGCCAATCACTGACTTAGATGTATTATCTGGCTGGGTTTGACAAGGTTTTTTAAATACTGAAGCAATGTCATGCAATGGAGTCTGTTTTCCATTACTGGACTGTAGCCAGCTATCGTTTAAATTTATGAAGTCTACTTAATGACAGTAGCCCTGGACTTGAGAACAAAAGTTCCACTAACCAAAATTATTAGCTGGCTTATTGCATACAATGTGATTTGTCTCTAAAATCCATTCTGTATGAAGAAATATCAGACTTAAAAACATAAGACAAGAAATGATGACAGGCATGCTGCTCCACATTTTTGTGCCGAAGCATGATTTTAGCCTTTATATCCCTAGAGCACACCAAATGCCCAAGAAAATGTCACTCAGTAAATACTACGCCTTTATCAGTACACCAATGGCAATCCATCAGTTAATTTTATTGATCTCTGCTTGAATCAACAGGTATCCATTGCTACGATCAAACTGTGTAAGTCGGTACCTTGCTTTCATGGAAAAAAACAGATGTGAGTTATTTTTCCACAACTCACTGAAAGTTTGTTTATTTGCAAAAAAAAAAAAATTATGAAAGTTGTATAAAGAACCTGTTGCAGCCTGTTAAACACATTATACTAGAAAATCACTGACATTAGCAGGTCAGCATCCTGACTTTGACACTGAATTTATATCTGGTGCATGCATTACTAAAATTAGGAACAGGAACGTGAACTTTGTTTCAACGTTGTCCCGTAACTGCCACTTACCAAGAAAAGATTTAACATCAGTGATTTTAACACTTGTGAGGAAATGCTTTGCGAGGCACCTGCATTTCCTAAGGCAATCTGTGTTAGAATGTACACCCTGTCGATATAATATTCATTCTTGAAATTACTACAAAAGTGTTTAATCCCCAAGATAATTCCAAAGTTTCGTAAAAGAAACTATACAGCTTAAATCCTGCCATTTAGTAGTTGTGTTTGTCATGCAGTGATTGGCCCAGGCTATTAATGGCTGAAAGTGAATGGCATTTTTATTTATTACCTTCAGAAAAAAAAAAAATTTTCCACTGTTTTTTCCATTTGTTTTTTGAGTGCCAACAGACCCGTAGAAATAAATTTCGTCCCTCTTGGAATAATTTGCCAGCCGTGGGGGTTGGGTCCTTGTCTGTTGATTTTGCAGCATGGGGACACCTTGTTATGTTTTACTAAAAGCAAATTTCGTAGGGGATTCAAAATAATTGCACTACCTGGCTTTAATAAAATTAATAAAAGAAGGGGGGTTCAAACTCATTATGTCTGAGTAGCACTGGACATGCACAGAGCGTCATGGGAATCTACAAAGCATTTCTAAAAGGTTGTTCTCAGTCATTTGTTGTAGACAGAATTGTTCACAACATAATCATTTCAGTAGGAAAACCTCACATTCCCGTCACTCCCCTCCCAGCTCTGTAATGCAAATTGAAAAAGGAACTGTGCAGAAAAAAAAACATTGTGCACTTTGTCCTAATCTTATTCCTGTCTGTAGATCATAATAACATTTTGCAAATAGGCTTTTAGGTTTCTGGATGACAGCACAGCAATGCCTTATCCTTTCATGTAATCATTGTCTTTCACTGCACTGCAGACCTGTACTGAGTTGCTCTACTGGCGTAATCGGGCACATAAAACTCTCTCTTTGTTCCGGAATATTACCTCCCCAGATATTGAGCAGAATCAAAGTAGCTGTAAAGTTTGAATTGAAGGATATGGATGCTTGCATAATTGTACTGGCACAGAACTGTCAAATACAGACAACACATTTGTTTGTTTTTTTTTTATTTATTTATTGCAAATGCAGCTGTCACTGAGGGCTCTTTTTTCCATTTTGGAAGTTCTCAACATATTCTCCCACCACTCAGATGATCTCCTAAAGCATGCAACTCTAAAGCTATTTTCCATTTAGAGGCACGCCATTAAATAGCTTGATCCACCCCCTTGTCTGCCTGACACAGTGCTGTTTTCTTTATTTATATTTTAATGCATTTCTCCATCCCCAGTCACAGCAGGTTTCCAAATTCATTTCTTCTGTGGGGGGGGGGGGGGGGGGGGGCTGCTTAATTCACAGAGCAGTAATTTACAGCATCATTAAAATCTGTACTTCATCTTTCGCAATGGAAACGCCATTAAAATGCCATTTGTTAAACTTTGTTTAAAGATGCAAGAAAGGAAGGAAAAGTGGGTACAAATTATATTTAAATGCAAGATTGGGGAAACGATCATACAAGGCTGTATTTTTCAGCAAAAGGAGATTTAAACTTATGCTTGGATTTCCAAATGATTGTGTTGTGACAGAAAAGAACTGCATTATTTAATTACTATACCATATAATGCGTGTCCTGTCAGTTCATAGCAGCACAATCACTTTTAAAAACAGACATATCCACTTTGACCAGTAGCAGAATACCCTGTCATCCTCCCATCAAAACATCAGCCCAATGCATCAATCTATGGATTTATCTGCAAAACTAAACACACTGATTTACCACTATTCCACCACCAACAGGTCACACAGTAGATACGCTCACAGGCCTGTAACCTAAAGACTGTCTCTCTTATTTACAGTATATTTGGTATTCAACACATCCATCAATAGTATAACGCAATATATTAGGAAGCACACCCACTCCATACACTCAGATAAAGGGGCAGGACTTGAAAGCACAACCATGGGAGTTGCAAGGGGGCAACGGGGGTATTGTAAGACCCCCACTTACTCTGAAACACAAATGTACCCCCCGAGCCACCCACACACACACACACACACACACGCACACACTATTTTGTTGGATTAATATGTAATAGTAGAACGTGCCAATGAATGTAGTACGTTATGATGTAACACCACGATGTACATTACAACGTGACATAATATTGATGTAAAGGAAATGCAGAAAGTTAATTATCATTTGGTGATTTTCTCAAGTGGCAATTGCTTGCCCAGTACAGAGTGACACAAAGGGAAAGGAACAGATAGCAGACAGTCAATCACAGGGTTTTCACTTTAGGACTGCAGGAGGAATTACCCTGGAGGAGACCCACTCGACACAATGCGGACACGCAAACTCTGATTACACGGAGCAGAAGTGGGATTCAAACCTCCAACCCCGGAGGTGTGAGGTTACACTGCTGGCCACACATTCCTGCTTTCTGCTGCCTAATTGCAGTTTCAGTACAAGGGCTTTCATCAAAGGAAGAACAAATCCTCTTTCAGCTAAGCTGGTAAAGGAGATGGCTTGTGACAGCCAGGGCTTCTAAATAAGCTGAACTGCAATGGCAACAAACCAAGACAAAGTTAAAAACTAAGGTCTTTGGGAAATTCCAGGAGACGATTCACAGCGGCTGAACATAGGGAACCTGACACAGCACTGGAAAACGAATCAAAATGATATTTGCCAAAGAACTCCATCATTTTTGCCAGTTCTCCATTTGTGCTTTTTATTATATAATTATACATAAATGAAAAATTATACTGTATTATCAAAATGACATATAAATTAAGGTCAAAAATACCAATTCAAAGCATACTATATATGGATTTTTTGTTGTTTTTTGTGTACTTTTAGGAAATTTTTATTTGCAAATAGGATACAAGGAGATGTTTTAGGATATGTCATAGATAAGTGCTGAATTTTATTGGCAGTTCATCTGAATTTAATGTATGCCATTAGAGTAGCTGCTTATCCCAGGTTTGCTTCATGCTGACTGCCTGATAAGCCTGCTAATACGCATATTAATACTGCGGCTTGCATCCCTGCCTTTGCCGATTGGTTTCAGCACCTCAGGGATGCAATTTCTGCTGGATCCTAGCCCACAATCCTCTGCAAATGATCTTCCAGGATGGGCTAACATTTGGCATGTGGATGTCAGGTGAACAGTGGGAACATGTAGAAGTTGGCAGAAAATATAGGTATTATAACTACTGGCATTTTAACATCACAGTAGGCAAAATTAGTTATGTTCTGCCACTGGTTCCATGCCCAATATTTAAACTTAAACTAAGATGAGGCTTTCATTCATTCATTCATTCATTTAATGGAGAGGCCTGGCATAACGGCATGCCCATATAACACTGGGGAAAACTGAGCCAAACTGAATCTGAGCATACATACTCTTGCTTTCATTATTTTTATAATTGTTTACACTAACATATATTTGACGCCAATATTCCACACTGTGGCATGGTCAAGACATAAATGACTATTTTAGATTGATCCAACCTCTGGAAATGTGGCTGTTTTAAAAGACTGAAGGGTTGCTGTTTCTCATTAGTGACTTACAGATGTCTGGACGCCTGTTAAGGTTATGGGATTTATAACATATTTGGTAAGCAGGCATACGGAGCTAAAACACCATCAACCAATTCTCTTAACCATAGCAGGGTCAGAGAGAGTAAACTGATCTATTATCAGTCATTGGTGTCCAATTCTGGTAGCATCACCTCAAACACATTCAACAACCCTTTCAATAGCATCTTCATTGACAAGGCTCCTGAAGTACCATGTTCCACTACAGAGAAAATAACCATGTCTGGTCCATTATACCGACATCTTGAATGAGGGAAACTAACTTGCAGAGTGTTGAGCTTCAAGTCAATGAGATTGACACCCTTGTGATCAGATAAACACTACATTGTCTCTTAAGCCTAACCAGTGCCAAACTTTTTGTCAAATTATTTTCAATAAGCTTGCATTGAATAAGCTTTTAGCCATGTATTGCACAACTGTATTTATTTTCAGAGACCACACAACAACAATCCCTCCATCCAATTTGTGTTCCCTCTTGTCCTATGCAGGGTCATGGAACCACAACAATTTTCAATTTATTTTTTTACCTTTCATATCCTTTGGCCAAACTTACTTAAGGGTCATTGTAGTGAGGCACAAGTTACACAACACAACCATTCAATGAAATACAGGTAAAGCTAAGTATTCTCATGCAATTATGGTTTCTTATTTTGTAGTTGTTCTATATTTTAAATATTTCAGGCAGTTGTCAGTTTTCACCCTCCATTGAAATACCTGGTATTAGCAGCAGAAAACCCATGTTTGCATTCCTGAAAAGTGTGTTCAGATCTGTCTCCAGTCACAGCAATGCTGGTCTGACAGGCCAGAGAGAACTTCTCTAGCTGAATTTTTAAAAGTGTTTGGTGAATTTTTCTATTTCTCACTAGATAATGAGTTTACGTTATTTCCTTTAGACATATGGAAAGAAGACAAGACAGGACCAGCATTCAGAGGTAGGTGGAGTGGAGTATAGGGGGTGTGGAGAGACAATAAACATTCCGAAAATTAAACAGAGGAGAGCGGAAAAAAAAAAAAAAACTTACATGAGTCAGTGGCTTAGTGTGGACAGTGACAGTGGGCCGGTATTGGCGAAACTCAGTTTGGATCACACACACCTTCTTCTCCATCCTCAGGTCAAGGAGCAGCCCCTCATCCTGTCCTCATACGAGGTTTTGGTGCAAACGGGTCTGAAGCGTGGTTACCTGACCCACCAGCAACGCTGTCAGGGCAGGAGGGGAGGGGACAGGGCGAGAAAAAACACAAACCAACTTCAACATTCCCCCTCTACTCCTCTGTTAAAGCACAACCACCCACTGTCAGCTGAACAACAGAGCAAAAAGCCACCCTCGACTGTGAACATTAACCCCCTCGGTGCTAAAGGAGCTCACTGCCTCATTCTTTAAGTGAGAAGTGCCTGGGAAATTCTTCACATTCATAATACCTTTGATCAAGCGAATTGAATATACTCTGAAAGTAGAAACACCAACAGTCTCTGGCTCACGTAGGGAAAAAAGTCCTACCTTACAACTGAACAACTCATTTACATAAATGTATTTGAATAAATTTGAAATAATTATAGTGAAACTGGTGTACCAATCACTGGATAATATATACAGGACATTATCATTAATGTTGGCAGGAAGAACATCTGTTAAAATCCAATAAACAGCAGTTTGGTCAAACAAATTTAAAAAATATATCAACGAGAATGCACACATGAAAAGTTTCACTGTGATAATGTTGTTTTTGAGGAAAGCCATCTAACATTATATGCAACAATTGCATTACTTCCAATAGTTCTGAATAGCATGCTCCTAAACCAGATTTGCATGAAGCTCAGCTAGATGCAGTCATGATTTATGTTAATGCCTACGTCTCATACAATAGACCTATATTGCTTATTATGAAAACGTTTTCTTTTGTTTTAAAGTCAATTATAAATTCAATTTATAAGTAATAATAAAAATAGAATTCTTTACTCAAATCCTAATTGGACAAAGCACAGCAATAATGGCTAAATCAATAATCAGAAATAATGGCTAAATTACCGTATTGATTAGCAAATAACGTATGTCGCTGTCTTTGTTGTAGTTGTCACCTTTTGGAGGGCAGTTCTGAAGTTGCGGGGCGCGATATGCTGCCTGCATCCTCCCGCACTCTCGCCCCCGTGTAGTAGTGCCAGCGCTTTCCGCTCCGATACTAACCCCTGCTAATAAAACTGACAGAAACGCGACGTGGTTTTGTCGTTTGTCGTAAACTGGACGTATGGAGTACCACAACACTTCTCGTTAAAATGGAGAAAAAATGCGACGCAGTATTTGACGGAAGAAAAGACGAGTTTTTCCAATAAGCGAATTCCTCTGATTGTCACTTTATGAAATAAAAACAAAAATAACATCGATCGTGGCTAAACGAACACGATGAAGAATAAAATAATTTAGATTATTCTGCTTTGTGTAAAATTGAGGAATTTGAAATAAAAATATGTGCTTTAGGAAACGTATGTGAGATGCCCTCTGTGTCAGGCAGCGGAAATAACAGAATAGGCCTGTTGTCTAAAATAGAACACGTTTGATGTGACGCTGGAATACTGCCTGCCAAATGCATTTGCGTAAGCATAAGAATTTAGTATCAATTTAGCATTAGGTTTTTTTCTTAATCTGACCCATTACATTTTCCTAGTAAAACTGTTTACTTACAAATAATTTCGCTTTTGACACAGATCGATTTCTTCCGCTCTATAATCCCTGTGATCTATGTTTTGACAGGATTTCTGTCAATCAAATTTCAAAAATGGCCGGAGGGAGGAATATGTCTTGTAAATGGGGGGGGGCGGGGGACTTGTTTTAACAAGTTGTCAGAAAAGTGATTGAGGGTCTAGTACTTTTAACATCATATCTTAAGCCAAAAAAAAAAAACTAGTTTGTTTGCTTTTCAGTTGGATGACAATGGAAAACAGATGTCATGTTAAAAATATCCATTGACTTTTCCATATTTGACAGAAGTACGTATTATCATTGTAAAGATTAAGCTATCACTGTTTTCAAAAGTAGTCAAGTAAGATAAAACAAACACTGGGGAATTCTCTCTCTCAACCACTCAACCTGAAATTGAATTCCCTTGTGTTGGTTTTACCTGAACATGGATTTATTATGTATCAAGAGCCCTTGCATGAATTCAAACTGTATGTGGTTTAACAGTAAAATTACCTGGAGATGATTTTATCATTGATGATACAGAGTAATGAGACTGTCAGGCATTGTTGGAAAAACAAAATAACAGTAAGCAAAAGGGGCTAAACTTTAAACATTAATCGAATGTAACTTTTTCTGCAATCCCATCATTGGTGTGTCCCAGATCCGTGCCTTGCACTGCATGGGCGAAACTCCAGCCCCCCGCAATCCTGTCCGGGATATGTGGATGGCTGATAGGATAGCTGCTAAACCTGACAAAAGTACATCCTGAAAATAACAGAGAACTGATTCAGCAGCACCTCTATGACCATATCTCAAAATAATAATAATAATAATAAAAAATACAGGTTCTGAGCTTCATAAAACTGGAATGTACACCTGGACGTCCTTTTGTAAATAATGTATATCCAAACCCAAAGAGAGACACAGAATCTGTGTAAGTAGCACAAAAGCAGGACCTCTGAGAAATGGGAAAAAGTAATATGGTCGGCTGAGTTACCTTTCACCCTTTTTCCAAACCGCAGGTGGGGTTACATTTGGAGAATGCCACAGGATACCTTTGACCCAAGTGCCTGTCGCCAGCTGTTACACTGGGTGGGGAATCTGTAATGTATGGGTAGCCATCTAGTGGGAGTCACTAGGTCCAGTGATTGTTGTGTGCAGCCATATAACAGCTGAGGAATACGTGGGTAATTTACAGGCTCAGGTCATCCCACTGATGCAATGGTGCAGACACTGCTCCCTCATTATGGTCCCATAGTCCAAGATGATAATTCCCCATTCACACTTCTAAACAAATTGGTTGGTTTCCTGAACATCACAGTGAAGTTAAACTCCTACCATGGTCTCAACAATCACTAGATATAAATTAGAGTGCAAATTAGACTTCAACCTCCATCATCCCTTAAAGAACCATGAAACTGTTTTTTTTTAATATCCAACTATACACAGAATTCCAAGAAAGACCGAAGCTGTTCTGAATGCAAATGGTGGCCTGACTTTTTATAATGTCCTTGATAATATTGTTATGTGTTTCCATTATTTTGTACAGGCCCTGTAGCCACACATATCCATGTCTATTGAGAGAACTGTGCTTATAAAACTGTACAATACATTTACTTCAGAATATGCCTGTTAGCAATAATATAAACTCAGAAGGTAGCGTAGGACCTAGACTTGACCAAGAGTTTTCTGGTTCCCAGCGGGACCTTGGACTTTCCAGTTTCAACCAGGGAGGCAACTTTAACCTTCTCAGTCAACAATACTAAATAAAATATCCAGCAGTACATTTATTTTTTTTTAGAGTTTTTGCTAAGCAACAAAAGAATATTGATGTTTATAATAGAATAGCATTTCAGGCAGTAGGTTTTGATGATTCAAATGAATGCATTTATGACAAAGCGAAAGGCAACCCGTGTATTATAAGGATACGTCAAAAGTAATTATCAATTAAAGGTAAATCTGTAGTTATTTCTGAGTTGCATGTATTAACAGTTACAGAACAGCAAATAAAAACAATGCTATTTCACAAATAACCTCGAAAAACATTCCTATCCTTAACATTTAAGTAATTGACTAATTAAACCCAGTTGACTGAACACATATCTGTAAATTAGTTAAACATGGTATTGTGCTGCCTTTAAGCAGCTTATCAATGCAAGATGAGCCTTTGGCTCTGGGCCACTTTTCCTATGAATAGTGCTTTTGTCTGAATACTATACAAATTTAACCACACGCTCATCTTTCATTGTCCCGCAGTACACTGCCTTTGCAGTTTCCTATATTTCTTACTTAGGGACAATAAGTGTCAATAAGTTTCAGACACAATGCATAAGTATTCATAATTCAGCAGCCAGAAACATTGCTTACTTCCAGAGAGGCTTCTTAAAAAAAATGTAATGAGTATTTGAGTATGGAAAACAACGATAAAAGTGTTGCAGAAAGGTAACTGTGCTATTACTTCTGCTCTTCAAAAATGAAAGAACTAATGAATCAGTCAAGAAAAAAAAATGCAAGATCATCCTGTTTCCTCGTATAATACCCCAATGAATCGCATTTCAGACCGACAAAGTCCCTTGATTTTCCAATGTACTTGTGCTGTATAATATTTTAAGAAAACACTGCTGTACCTTTCCCCTATACATACCGTGGTAGATGAACAATATGACAAAATGAACACAGTAATAGTGTTGAAAGAGATCTCATGAACATTTTACTTGTTGATATTGTGCATGTGAAAAACTGTAATCTACGAATGCAGTTCTGTAAACATATACTTTTGAAACAATAACCAGATTGTTAGCTAAATAAATATAATCATAAATTCACATTTCTGGGTCTTAATAAAAAACAGGTTCTATTTGGCATCTGTAAAATGCCTGTGAATTGTTGTGTGGGATGTCAAACTAATGAGTGTCATGTGTACAAGACACTAATTTAACTTTCAGCTCACGAGCAGGATCACACATGCATGCAGTTTTGAAAAACGTCAAAAGTCGGTCTGGCATATGATTCCATACCAACAACTGTACTCAGCCATTTATATTCACTTCAGCCTCCCAAGAGCTTCCTATAAGAAGAATGCTTATACATTTCTTAATGTACTTTACAACAGCATTCATTGTCAAGATGCAAGTCATGTAACATATATTTGAGACAGAGTAATAACTTACGGAATTATGCTATTGCGTTCCATTTTATTACAATTGAAGTGGAAAAAGTGAGACAGTTTTGTTTACCAGGAAGCCCTTCACCAAACTGCCATTACAGAGGTGCATGTGCATCACGGCCAAGACCTCACACCATCTCCTCAGCTTCTTCACCGCAGCCATCCAGCTCCTAAATAAGCTCATCTAGTACCTCAGAAATCCCACACCAGGGTAATATCCACTCACCTGGGGACAATTCCACTCCTCCGTTACCTGACATTTTACTCCCACGGTCAAATTGCATTATTGGTTTAATTTACACTATAACAGTGAACGACTGTTTCTTTTCCCTCTGTGCACTAATCCAGTTATCATTTGTATTGCATCAGTGGAACTTGCACGTTGCTCCCCACGTGCTGGTTTTCCATGCACTGCAGCCTATTTCCTGCACATGGTACCCTGATGTTACTTATTAAGACATCTTGCACAGTGTGCTCTGTTAATCTTGTGTGCTCTTGCTGTCTTCTGTTAATCTGCAATTTCTACTATATTTTCAGTTTAACACATATGTATCCTGTGAAGTGTTTCTCCATACGTAATGTAATTTCTGCTTTGGATGTTTTCTTTGGCTTTGGACCATAAACAATTCTGGTATGTTCATACATACTGACAATAAAGTAAGTTCTGAGTTAACTAAATAACTAGGTCATGCATTTATGAAATATGTAGCTAGTTTCCAAGATTCAGGATTTCATAGGACCTACCGTTCATGCATTTTAAAAAAATGCCATGAAGCAAAAATCAGGTGACTTAAATGATACTTGGACTGTTTGTTAGCCATTTGTGTAGCTATTTGTAATCAGGGATTCCAGTTTCTGAAATTTGTTCCTGAAACACTGACTACCTCTATAGTAAAAAAATTCTAATTTGGAACTGTCAACATAAAGATGAGCTTTACCAAAGAGATGAGCTGTTCTTAAAATACATAATATTCCCAGACAGCACAGTACTAGTCACGGCACAGCAGCACTGCAGTCTGGATGTTCTCTGTGTTGCACAGGTTTTGTAAAGACAGATCATTAGACAATACTAAAGCAAATAAGATAAAATTTGAATCTCTTTCTAATGGTAATGGGAAATTCTGCACTACCTCTTTTAAAAAATGCCTCCAATCAATAAGTCCAAATCAGAACAACGCAATTGGCATGGAGGCCCAAGAAAATAGTGTTAATTTTCAGTGGCTTTGAGGATTCTGATACGGAATTACATGAAAAATGAATCCGTAATCCTAGCTATATGTGCCGTATATGTTAAGAAAAATGGCTATGATGACACCCACTGGAGGTTTGGCACATTGGAAAAAATAAAGGACAAAAAAAAGACATACATACAAAAGCATGTTTGCAGAAAAATAGTTTTAAATATTTTCTGTTTGTGATCTCACTTAATAAACAGTGATAAGACATAGATGTGCATATTTTATCTGCAATTCAACAAGATTTGAAAACATTTGCAGGGTGTGATGTGTAACTTGCTGTACATTACAGATCAAACTGTAAATCAGGAGACGCAGCTGGACGTCTCTGCAAAACTTTTTGAACTACTGCTCCAATCCAGAAATTAAAACTTATGACTCCAAAAAAATTAATATCACTGTCACAAATTCAGCATGGTCCCACTGGCATTATTAACCTCTGACAGTACCTACTGTATACTATACTCAATATATCATCAGCATTTTAAGTGCTGATTTATAAAAAAAAAAATAAAAAAAAACACACATCACTATTAAAAATCTCTCAAATTTTTTGCAGTGAAATTATAATAACCTCAATTATATTATTTAACCCAAGGATGCACGAGTGGTATGACCCTACACTTTTCCATAAGTGGTTCATTTTTGACCCACTTAGAAAAATCAGTCTGTTTTATGCCATTTTTGTCATTTTGGTTATGAATAATGAATTGTAACATAGTCTGTTTGAAATTTTTTTATTTTTCACTTTATAACACATTTTGATAATTCAAAAATGAATATTATACAGAACAGCAATAGAAGAATGTCAACATTCATTATGTGTTTGTGTGTAAATGTCCAGTCAGGGACAGTTCCTCTCTTTTCTCTTGCAGGTAAGTCCCCGTGTTTGCTGAAGCTTTTGATGTGATAGTCCCTGTTTTGCCTTCTTGTCTCCTCACTGTATACAGTTGTGACAGACTACCTGTTTCTGGCTGCGATCATTGCACACAGGCACATTGCACTTCCCACACCTATTGCTGACTTTGTAATATTTGTTACTTGGGCAGATCTGACGCCTCTTTCTCTTTGGTTGGCCCTGTCTGCTTCTTTCCTATGGCTGGGTTGTGGCTTTTGTCACCCCACACCTTCCTATTGCTTCAATGATCGGGGCTTGCAGTTGTGGGCAACCTTCCAGTGCACTCCTCATGTGTGGTGTGACAGGTTCCTTTGAATTTAATTCAACTAGAATTTAGTGATTAATTGTCATTGCTGACACACCTCAGCACACAACAACAAAATGCGTTCTCTGCATTCAACTCATATGTAACAATGTGACATAGCAGGCGGCAGCTAATTCAGCGCATGGGGAGCAGTGCTTGGGGGCGGTACCTTGCTCAGGGTACTTCAGTAGTGCCTTGCTGGTTGGGGATTCGAACCTGCAATCTTTCAATTACAAGAGTACTTCCCTAACGATTAAACCACCACTGCTCTTTGTGCAAGAGTCGTCATACATTGGTGAATTCAGGGTGCTGAGTCCTGAAAAAGGTATAGGAATTATTGGGTGGCGATGTCAAGGATGTTGTACCACAGCACCATGGGCCACCTCTCTATTTGTCGCTTGCAGGTGTAGGTGCCAACCATCTGGTCCATGGTGTCAACACCTCCTTTGGTCTTGTTGTAGAATGTGATGGTAAATGGACTGCATTTATATACTGTAGTGCTTTTCTACTCCTACAAGTACTCAAAGTGCTTTACAATTTATGCCTCACATTCACCCATCCACACACACATCCACACACAGTTGATCACTTCTGTTTTTTTCTTTCTGCTGTTTTCAGGTCATTTTTGACCCACTTGTGCATCCTAGAGTTAATATACCTTAATTAAGCAATATGTCTGCTTATTCTCCTCTGTAAACAACAATGTTCTTGTCAGTTTCATGGATCTTGATCTCATACAGCAAACCAGGTGGAAGGAGCTTCAACAAGCGGTCCCAGATGTACACAGCCAAATTTTCTGTTGTGCTAAACAGCAAAATACATATTAATATTAATTTACGGAACAACAGAAGTAGAGAGGAAAACTATTTTACTCCTTTTAACTGAAATTCGTTCACAAACCTGACCACATTTTCAAAGTATGGCACCTCCTTATCCAGGTTTTTGTGATCAAGTGGTATCATGACAGCTTCCTGAGGTGAGAAGATGGGCCCAAAGAGGTTTTCCAACAGTCAGAAGAGCTTTTTCAGAACAAATATTGCATAACTAGCATCAACAGCATATAACAAACAAAAAAAAAATAGCTCAAATATCGAAGTAAGTAATAAGTAAGTTTAATTTATACAGCACATTTTGAAACAACCAAGGATGACCAAAGTGCCATACAAGAGGAGATAATTCAGTAGAGCAATAAAATTATACAACACAATAAAATACATTAGAAAAAAAGGACATATTGAAAACAAATTATTTTTAGGTCACTGAAAAGAAATGGGTTTTCAGTCTGGTTTTAAAACTTTAATGGGCAGAGGTAATGAGTTCCATAACTTGGAAGCATATCATAAAAGAAGAAAATGAAAACCGCCAAATTTAAATCAATTTCATGAAAGTAAAACTTATAAAGCACTGGTTCCCAGTCTCATGCAATGGAGACAACACCTAATTTGTGAACCACTTACTCCTCTTTCTAGAGAAAAAAATAAGGTCGGGACTATCTGTGTGGTAAAAAAAAACAAAAAAAGTGCCATACCTCTATGTAGCGCTTGAGGTCTGTCAGATTCATAACCATACCAGTCACGTGATCAATCTAAACAGGCAGAAAAATACAGCTGACTATTTAAATGGAAACAATGTAGAAAAAATCTGCACACTACTGAACATATTTAAAAACACTATAAAGGAGTACAGACAGGAGGAGGTCACAAACCCCAACACCAGTGTATCAAATTCATGAAAATATAATAAACCATTTAATCTTGCTAGAACATTTCTCAATAATATGCCATGGTAGAGTAATAACATTACTGCAAAATATAATCATTTAGAGTAAGAATGAACGACTTACTTTTCCACGTACTGTCACTTCAACTGTAAAAGAAAAACATTATTTAAGCCATTTATTTTAATTAAAAGCATGTCTATGACTCCAGGCATTTAATAAATTAAATGGTACTGTAACTGTTCACTATAAACAAATGCAAAACAAGAATTAGAATTAGAATTTAGTGATCAGTGGTCATTGTTGACACACCACAGCACACAGTGCAGAAGTACCCTACCTGACCTTTATAGTTATGTCCATGACCGTGGGGGTTGTTGCACTTCCCAAAAATCTTTTTGTTCTCTTCATCACTCAGTGACTTACTGAGATGAAACAAAATAAGAAAAAGCAATAATATATTGTGTGGATGTTAACTTCTGAACAGGCAGCTTATGCGATACAATACTCCTTAAGATATTTTTGAAAATTCTACATAGTATATGCTGAAAATGAAGAAACAGTATGGAACATTTAAACAATACTTCTTTTTAAATATTTCTATATCTGAGTGAGCTTGATGCATTCTCCATAGCTGTTTTCATAATACTATAAGATATGCTTGATTTGTATGGTTGTAGACCGGAAGTACTGTAGCTCACTGGCACCTCCCTATTAACCACATTCAATCACATGTACTTTCTGTATAAAACATGCGTTTATAATAGTATGGCACATCATAATATAACTACTTACACAGTTTAAATATGATGCTTCGCATATATAGCTATGAAATGGAGCCACTGTCCCATCTAAAACAGACTATTAGTACGCACTTTTACATTCAGCGTTCAAGGTATCAAAGCCCGTTTCCACCAGCGTCACTTTTTCTATATAGTGGGGTACCTGACGTGTACTGAGAAGTTCATATTTGCCCGGCGCAGAAAGGTTTATTATATTAAAATGGGCATGGAAACCTGGCTTCTCATTTACTGTGCACTATATAGTATGACATGCCTAGTTTCCATCTGATTTTTAAAGCATTAAATCAGTCTGGGCCAGGACAATGTCACCTTTTCTATATAGTGGGGTATCTGATGTGTACTGCGAAGTTTATAATTGCCTGGCCCAGAGAGGTTTAAGGTATTAAAATGGGCATGGAAACCTGGCCTCTCATTCACTGTGCACTATAGTATGACATGCCTTGTTTCCATCTGATTTTTAAAGCATTAAATCAGTCTGAGCCAGGACGATGTCACATTTTCTATATAGTGGGGTATCTGATGTGTACTGTGAAGTTCATATTTGCCTGGACCAGAGAGGTTTAGGCCTCCAAAATAATTGGAAACCTGGCAGCTGATTTAAACTAATATGTACAATATCTGATTTTTATGGTGTTAAATCAATCTGGGTCAACACAATTTCACTTTTCTATATAGTGAGATACCTGCTGTGAATTGAGAAGAATATGACGTTTTATTCAGGTGTCATATTTCAAGAGAGGTTTATCGTCAACACAACAATATACACTGGTATAAGGGTTATGAAATGCCGTTTCACGCCGGCCCCACATGGTGCATTTATACTGAATATCAAAATAAATCAATCAATAAATAAATACAATTATAAATTAAAAAGTTAACGCGTGGACCGCGTAGTTTTGGATGCATGTCCAGCTACAAAAAAAGCTATATATGGCAAAAGAAAAATTACCAATATTTTTCATTATATGCTTAAGTTCCAACGGTTAAATTCACTTAGAAATTAATCTCACTGATAAACTGCGTAGCTTTCGCCACCGTGAACGAAAAAGCGGCGAATAAGTAGCCAACTTCAGCCTCGAATGAATGCCCAGGTACAAATGTAAGCAGAATGAATCTCGCAACGATACCTATAACATGCATTAAATGTATAATTATCACCTTTACATCTCTATCTAATGATTTCTATATGCTTGAAATATGTATGTAAGTTTATTTCTTCCGTATGAGAAGGCTGTCGATAGGGTAAGGGTTATGATATTAACACGTCGTTTCCTTACTTGTGAAGCCGATGGCAAGCACTAAAGCTCTCTACTCGGGTTATGTATCCAACGCGCTCTTTCACACCGATTTGCTGATGCCTGCTTTCCATTTTACAAAAACAACTAGGATAAAAACGTCTAAAAACTACGGCGATGCAGAGAGCTCGGCATTTAACGGAGTCACGTGGGCATCACATGGTCGCAGATACCTTGCCACGTGATTTCCCAATAGAACGAAAAACTTGTCAGACGGTTGTTGTGTGTTACTCGCGTCACTTATAAAAACAGTCTGGTTGAAGCGTTGACAAGAAGCTGAGCAGGTTTTTTCACTAAAACCTGATTAAAGTAAGTAGTAGTTTCATACATGTAGCAGGTTCTCAGAATTTATATCTGCTGAATCGATGTAGTGTAAACCGTTACAGGCGTTAACCTTTCGTGCTTCGGCGTCCAGAGTGCGGTCCAGGTACGTACTGTATGGAAGCTTAATCTGCAGCTCCAGTCCTTTGGAAATGCGTTTTGCACTGGTCTGTTAGTTGCCAGTTAACTAAGTTCTGGATAATTGCAATACAATGCTCGACATAAACAAAATCCCGGACAAAATTATTATTTTCTATGGACACTCACCACTTATATGACATGTAAATATAGAAATTATACTCGAACAGAATATACAACCATAGGAACAAGATCACAAAAAAGGTTAATATTAATATTATCTATAAATGATATAAGAATATTTTTACTGCAAGGATGGTTTTAAAGCCTTATACAAGAGAAGTTAATTAACAATAAAATGGTTTTGAAATTAACATTCTTTAAGTTGAGGTTAGTAAGAAGTTGTTATCCCAGACTAATTACATATATACCTCAGGGTGGCCAACTCTCACGCATCTAGTGTGATGCTCATGCTAAATCTTACGGTAAATCAATAGTATTCCATTTTAAACCTAAAATTAAGCGTATCAGATGCATTGGGGCAGTTTGCAAACCCTACAGACTATTCACAATGTACAAAAAAAAAATCTGTTACATACATGTGTGCATACTTGTCTGGAAAAAAAATCATGTCGGCAAGCTGACCAAAGTTGGCAACCCTGATTTCTATGGCAACAGATAAAAACAGGTCAAAGTAATTCTATTTTATTACATTTTTGATGAATAATGCAATAATGTTTTGTTCTACTATATTTGCTATAGCTGCAGTTAAGGTTTTTGCCTGCAGACTGTGCAGACCCAGCCTATTGAAATGCTTCAAAGTGTTTTGAAACCGTTTTAAAAATGCGCATTTGCCATCCCTCCAGATCACCATAGTATTCGCCGCACCTGGTCTCTCCCTCTCGCCCACGCATGCCCGCCAGCACTGCCCGGACAGTGCCCTGCACTGCTCTTACAGCAGGGTACTTCCATTCAATGCACGACATTCGTCAGTTTCCTGCAGTTTAAAAATAAGTGCTTTAAATGCATCACCTGTTACATTCTTGTGGCTGTGAGAAAAGAACAATAAAATGTACTTAAGTAAAAGAATCCAAGCATCAGTTGGATTAGGGTGACCACCTAATCCATGTCAGGGGGAGTCACTATGAGCTACTTCAGGTTTTACAAACTAAGTTTCAAATGAAGGGCTCCTGTGCTAGGCTAATTAGTTCAATTCTTCTTGTGCATTTTTAAGTTTGTTTCCTTTATTGAAAGACTCATCCAACTGTTTCACATTAAAGTTAGTAATGCATGCGTGATTACAGGAGACTGACCAATCGACACACAGCAAAAACTCGGTGCAAAATTGACATCCAGGTCTTTTTAATTGAAATGGTAGCGTACAAGTCCTAGTTTATAGAGTCCCCTGGACAAGGATTAGGTGGTCACCCTAGGGTGGATACCTAAGACACTGTTCGTCTTTTCATTGCAATGTGCTTATCATAATCCTTACCTGGATAAGCCTGCTTTCAGTAAATGAAAGCTGACCTTCCATAAAATAGAAAACCCAGTGTATTAACGTGAACTTATTTTTTTTTCATAATTATTGTTTAATTGCAACTTGCATCCCATTGTGTACAATGCTACCATCACATTTAGCAAATTGTGTAGTTGTGTAGTAATACACCTAGTGGCCAGTTTATAAAGTACATGCAACTTATTTCTCCTATTTAACTTTAATTGTAATGACACGTTTTGCATGTTGAGCTCCAGTTTATAACCATACCTGTCAAGTTTTGGATTTGAAAATAAGGGAAATTTTCCGGCACCCACCGCGAGCCATTCCACCACCCCAACCAAGCTCCAGTATCCCTTACATTTTAAGACAGGTGTACAAGAAATCTAAAATAACCACTTGTCATTTACATTTTATTTTCATTACACATTTCCTTTTAATTTCTCATGTTCACTCATGTGGCTCTCTGGCATTCACTAATGACTTATTATACAGATTTGTTGCAGACTTTGTATCCTTGTTGAAGTCGTCACAGAAGGTGAAAGTAACGTTGTTTTTGGCACACAGCATTGCCATTTTAACCTCCGCATTTATGACCTGGTTAATGTTGTAAATGACCTTCAGACTACAGCAGGTGGCAGTTCTCGCGAGGCTACTGGCAGTTCAGTTTGGAGAGGCAGAGGAATTTTTTTTTAAATGATATTATAATACGGGAGATTTACGGGAAAATACTAATACGGGAGGACGGTGGGAAAGAGGGGTAAAATACGGTAGTTTTCCAGCCAAAACGGGAGACTTGACAGCTATGTTTATAAGTGGTTTTTGAAATATTAAGTAATCCCTAGTGTCCTAACATAAAATGTGTCATCATGAGGTTGGTTGGCTTGGAAATCCTTCATTAGTTTGCTTTAACTTGCAGTCACTTTTTGTAAAACAAAGTCTTATTATGTCACCATATACTAAAGCTTTCTAGTCTCGTGCATCATAATCCAATTTCATTAAAGACGTGTGATTCAAACTAGAAATTTTACTCATGTTATAATGTTTTATTAGCTCTTTGTTAATGTGATCTCACACGTCACATGTAAACCATTGTGATTGTGATACAATGTACTGTACATATGTAATTAAAGTTTTCACCCTTTTCTGGTTTTCTGGCGACCAGCCTGAGTTGTTTGCTACTTCCTCTGTCTGCATCAAACCTTAATGTGCTGCCACCCGCAGCAAAATATGGCTGTGCCAACAAGTTATGGGCCTAGGAAGGATATAGGAAACCAGTGGCATAGGTTGTTCTTCTAAAGAGATGATAAAAACTATGAGCTTCGGGAGTCAAAGTTTCTACACCATCTGCACCTGCTGGGGCTGAAAGGTACTATACTGTACCGATTGAGTCCAACACAGATGATGATGGAGACCGCTGTTGGAAGATACTAGGAGAAATGAATGATACACAGAGCTAATTCAGTTTTTAGATGACAAGAGCCTGACCCTAGTCATGAAAGAAGCAATTGATAATGGAAGGAAGTCTCTCCAAACCTTAAGGGAATATTATGCAGGTAAAGGAAAAGCCTGAGTGATTAGGCTGTACACAGGGTTAATGTCCTTGCAGAAGGCTGCAAATGAGAGTGTCACGGACTGTATAATTCAGGCAGAGATGGCAATTACAGGTCTGGGGAATGCTGAAGAGACATTAAGCGATGGGCTCCTAATTGCGGTGCTTCTGAGAGGTTTGTCGGAGTCGTTTAAGCCACTTGTTATCCACATCACCCAAGGAGATGAAACGTTAAAGTTTACTGAGTTCAAAACCAAGTTAGGAAGTCTCGAAGATACCGAGAAGTAGTGTGGTGGCTTAGAGGGCAACGTGATGAAAGCGAATACCTTGATGCCAAGCCAAGGAGGGAATGAGGGGAACACAGGCCGGACACCACATGTTACAGCTGTGGTGGGAATTGGCACAAGAATAAGCACATGTCTGATTGAGTGTGAGAGAAAACACGCACTGATGTGCGGAAGTCCAACATCTTGCAGACGCGGAATGAGAGATGTGAAACAAGCAACTGAGGAAGATAGCAGAGAACACACATATGTCTTCAACGTAACTGTCAGTTAAAGGGTGTGAAACAAAAAGGGCTGATGGTCGATACAGGTCAAGACATTACACATCATCAAAGACATCTGAAAATTCAAGAGATTAGATTACAAGTTTTAGCCTGAAAAACAGCCAATGGTACAAAAGAGTGGTGTAGCTCTGAAGAGAGGTGACGGCAATGTGATCCTGGTGAACAGTGACAGGAAATGAGTGAAAGCAATGCTGAAGAAGATACTATACATTCTGTTTTAACCACAGGACATCTCTGTGAAAGCGGCGATAGACAACGCAATCCATATTCAAATAACAATGGTTACAGAATAAAATGGAAAGGTTATACACGCAGTCCCCAGGTTAAGAACATCCGACTTATGGACAACTTGTACATATGAACGAACTGCCATAAATACATTAAAAACTCAGGTTAAATACAATGGTTTTAATAACGAACGCACACACTGCTTTGTGATACTTGTGATAACATTGGGCAGCTTCAGAGGTTTGTTGGCTCGAGGTACAGTACAGTACTATATGTAGTTACTATTGTTATTACTGTACAATTATTATTATGCACTGCATTGTTATTATTCTGTCTTACCTACAAATTTGACTTACAGACAGACTTGGGGAACAGATGTCCTTCATAACCTAGCTGGCTGGAGACTGGGAATTAATGTGCATTGAGCATTTTTTTTTATTATTTTATAAGCTGAATTACTCAAAACTAAGTGTTTATTGTCCAAAGAGGACAAAAAAAAAAAAACATTTTAGGAGGATGTAGGCCTCTCCTGGAGCCGACACCTTATCGTGGTGGAGGGGTTTGCGTGTTCCAATGATCCCAGGAGATAAGTTGCCCGGGGCTTTATGCCCCTGGTAGGGTCACCCAAGGCAAACAGGTCCTGGGTGAGGAACCAGACAAAGTGCGGCTCGTCAGGCCCTTATGATGAATACAAACATGGATTCACGATTTCCCTTGCCCGGACGCGGGTCACCGGGGCCCCCCCCTGGAGCCAGGCCTGGGGGTGGGGCTCGATGGCGAGCGCCTGGTGGTCAGGCCTGCACCCATGGGGCCTGGTTGGGCACAGCCCGAAGAAGGCACGTGGGTCCCCCCTCCAGGCTCACCACCTGTAGGAGGGGCCATAGGGGTCGGGTGCTGTGTGAGTTGGGCAATGGCCGAAGGCGGGG